GAGCTTTACCGAGCTGACTGCTGTAACCGAACGCGACCAGGGTTTAAAGGCTGAACGAATGACTGACAGCCACAGCAGAGAAAAACGTTTGTGTGAACTTTAATGTAAGGACTTAAATATTCATATGTAGCTCACATTAAGCTAGCGTATGGCTTCAGAAGTAACACAGAATAATTCACACAATCGGAAAAAAAGAAAAAAATCTCTGATTTGGATCGGTCCTCTCCGACCGATACCCGATCCGAGAAAAATGCCACTATCTGAGCCGATACCCGATATGAATATAGGATCGGCGCATCCCTAATAAAAATGTACTGTACTTTATTATATCTTGAGCATTCATGTTAGTTCATAGTGCATTAACCACTGTTAACATGTAAGTTTTAAAATGTGTTAGTAAATGTTGAAATTAACAATCTAACGGTGAACAATACTTCTACAGCACTTGTTAAGCTTAGTTTCTTACAAATGGACTTTTATTGTAAAGTGTTAGTGTCTCATAATTAAAAAATCATGCTTAAAGATGGCTATCTTCAAATACAGTTGAAGTCAAAAGTTTACATACACCTTGCAGAATCTGCAAAATGTTAATTATTTTACCAAAATAAGAGGTATCATACAAAATGCATGTTCTTGTTTATTTAGTACTGACCTGAATAAGATATTTCACACAAAAGATGTTTACATATAGTCCACAAGAGAAAATAATAGATGAATTCATGGAAATAACAAAAAAAAAAAAAGGTTTACATACACAGCGTTTTTGTTTAGTGATAGTTGTTCATGAGTCCCTTGTTTGTCCTGAACAGTTAAACTGCCTGCTGTTCTTCAGAAAAATCATTCCGCTCCCACAAATCCTTTGGTCTTCCAGCATTTTTGTGTATTTTGAACCTTTTCCAACAATGACTGTATGATTTTGAGATCCATCTTTTCACACTGAGGACAACTGAGGGACTCCAACACAACCGTTACAGAAGGTTCAAATACTCACTGATGCTCCAGAAGGAAAAACCATGCATTACGAGCCAGGGGGTGTAGACTTTTGAACAATGAAGTACATTTTTCTTATTTTGCCCAAATACCATATTTTTTTCATTTAGTACTTTCTTTCAGAAGCTACAGAAGATACTTGCATGTTTCCCAGAAGACAAAATAAGTTACATTTGTCGATGTTGAAATTCAAAAAGTTTTCACTCCCCGTCTCTTAATGCATTGTTTTTCCTTCAATAATAATAACAAATAAAATAAAATAAAAATATTGATATTGGATGCATTTCTGGTTTATGTTTCTGTCGGCTGCATGAATGTCTCGGTTTGCTTTCTGATCTCACTAGCTTTAATTATGCAACTTTGTTGGCTAATGAATGCATAAAACTTACCAGCTGGACATAAACTAATGTAAATAGAAGATAACAGTGGTGACATTTAAACATTTTAAATCTGTCTGGCTCCATGCAGCGCTCAGCCTCACGTGTTCGTCTGTTAACTGTAATGTGCATATACTGCTCAGTTACGCTGTATAAACTTAGCTTAAAAGCATTAATTAAAACGGTTTTGTAATGTTTTTTTTTTTTTTCTTGTAGATTTTCTCGCAAGAGTACATTAACTTGCTGTTATCCATGTATTTCTTCGTGCTGGGAATATTAGCGCTGTCTCACACAATGAGGTATGAAAATACGTAGAGCTTCTAAAATGTTTTGTGAGTTTGAGTTGTGTAATGCTTTTAATATGACATGACTTAGGTTAACCATTTTGGTGTTGCTGTCCCAGTCCCTTTATGTGCAGAGTTTTCCCTGCTAACGTGCCAAATAAGCAGTACCAGCTGCTGTTCACCCAGGGCTCAGGAGAAAGCAAAGAGGGTGAGAAGTGTTGGGACATTTACAAAACTACATTTGTGTGTATGGTGTATAAATACTCTTAACGTCCCTGTTATCTCCCACAGAAATCGTCAACTATGAGTTTGACACGAAGGATCTGATATGCCTGGTAATCAGCAGTGTGGTAGGGGTCTGGTATGTCCTCAAAAAGGTAGAGTAGATCGGTCTTAATTTAGATCAAACTGTGTCTGCATCTGTTTTATATAAAAATAAATTAGTTAATCTTGCTGATGCTTTACGTAGGCCAAATGCATATTCTGTGTGTACATGATTTAAATGTTTAAATCCAGTAAATAGCAGTAGTTTCAAGCTCCTGCCCTTTAACTATATTTACTATATTTGGTCACAGACCAAATTGTTGATCTTATTTCAGTGTATTACATATAATAAATATAGGAATATTTAACATTTATGCATGAAAGCTCTGGCCATCATTCACTGATAACTACTAACATAATTACATATACTGTATATGTGTGCTTTATACGTATGCACATAAATTTGTCTTTACCCTTATACTTGTCTCCACATTTACATTTGGCAAATGCTTTTATCCAAAGTGAATTTCACCGTATTCAAGATATACATTTTATCAGTTTACACTTTCACTGGGAACCAGGGTTGTTGCAATATAGTAGTGCCATTATTGACGATGATGTGATATTTCAAAATTTAAATACTGATGATGTGTTAATATTACACATAAAATATAGTAAATAATCCAGAGCCAGTAACTGTCTCGTTGACGTTGGCTTTGTTTACATGCACAACTTTTGTTTCAGTCGGACTGAATTCATTCCGACTGATGAATCTGAATGTAGTGTTTACATGAACGCTAAATAACGTGATCGGGTTGATGTGTGCGTTTATATGTCACAAGCTTCAAATCAATCGGACTGAATTCATTCCAATTTATGAATCTGAATGTAGTGTTTACATGAATGCTAAATAAAGTGATCGGGTTGATGTGCACATTTATATGTCACAAGTTTCAATTCGGAATTTATTTATTTTTTGACATGCACACACTGCACAAATATAGAGTTTCCCACTGTTTGCACATAATAACCACTCTCCTACACGTTTCTTTATTTGTTTTAAACAGCAGAATTAAGATTGATCCACTTCTAGATAGATATTACATATAAACCGCTAGGCCGTGCTGCTTATATTTATCATGCAGTAAAATCGCTTTGTTAAAACGCAGTTAGAATAGTTTTATGACAGGACACTCATTTATACAGCTCTTTAGTCAACGGGAAGAACCGCTTGCTCCACCGTATTAGAAAAGCAATAAACCATTCCTTACAATCCGGTCGAAATCTGATTCAGGTCAAGCTCAGTCGGATCGAGTGAGGTGTTTACATGAAGTCTTTTCAGCCCGATTGAGCCGTCAATCCCATTACAAACGGATTATTTGGTTGCATGTAAATGTAGCCACTGTAACTCAAAAAAAAAAAAAGTCAGATTGTATAGCTACTACTGTGGTACCAAGAGCTATATTTACATTTACATTTAGCCATTTAGCAGACGCTTTTATCCAAAGCGACTTACAATTGGGGGATACATAAAGCGATTCTTCTTAAAGAGGCAAACAGACACAGGAAGTGGTTGTAATACCAAGTTCTTAGACATTGTTCAAATAAGTACAAGCTAGAAAGAGAAGGAATAAATATATAAATGCCTAATTTATTCTTTCTTTCATTCATTCATTTATTCATTCATTCATTCGTTATTGCTTTAACTTGGACAGCCCTAAATTCAACACAAGAAACCACACAAGTTTTTCACGCAGGTTGCAGTCTCTTTTTCTGCTGCCTTTTGATTGACACGAAATAATCGGGCCCGATCACCCATAGCAGATAGCGCAGATAATTGCTTTTGTCGGCTGATGCCGATTATTGGCAGATATATCGGTGTGTCCCTACTGATTACCCTTTGGCTAACTACTAGCTGGTCAAACTAGTTCTTAAGACACAGTCCTAACATAGTGGCTATGTTTATGCAACTGGCCCCTGATTGAGCCATACTCTTTTTCAAACTCTTCAAAACCATAACTAAAGTACTCTTGAGTGCAGTACATGGATGCTCAAGTTTGGATGAAGTTACATTGGTTTGAATAGTTTGAGAAGTTTTTGCAGTGATCAGTGTGCATGTACACAGGCTCAGTGTTTGAACTAGATGTGAGCAGTAACTGTTACTGCTGAGAGATCAAGTGAGATGTAACCTGGGCTCTCTTGGAAGTTCAGTGGTTTCTGATCAAGGTAGCAGTGCTGTACTTTAAATGAATCGCACAAGTTAGTGTTCTTTCAGATGGGCTGGATGATAGTGGATAACAACTTATAGTTTGTTCTGCTATATTTGTTGCCTTTAGCTTTAAAAAATAATTTAAAAACTAATTTTAGTCAACCATCAAAAAAAAAAAAACGTTTAGTTGACAAGCATATATAGACAAATGTCTTTGTGTATTTCCTGACAGCATTGGATAGCCAATAACCTGTTTGGTCTGGCTTTTGCCCTGAATGGAGTTGAGTTGCTCCACCTCAATAACGTCAGCACTGGATGCATCCTGCTGGGCGGTCTGTTCGTTTACGATGTGTTCTGGGTAAGTTAGGGGAATTTTAAATGCACTATTGTAAAGCCTGCTTAATATAGGGCCCACAACGTGTACTCTTTTTGTTTTCTAGGTTTTTGGCACCAATGTTATGGTGACAGTTGCCAAGTCCTTCGAAGCCCCAATTAAGTGTGAGTATCTGATTTATCCATCCGTCCTTCTCTCCATTAATCTCCAGAACAGAAGGTTTTTGGTTATCTCGGGACCATATAACCATATAGTGGTTACCAACATTCTTCAAAACGCTTCTGTGGTCACAAATACGTCATGCAGCTTTGGAACAACATGAAAGGGAGTAAATGATCACAGAACGTTGTTTTTTGTTTTTTTTTTTGAACTAGTGAATTTAACCTCTTAAGCGCTTCAAACAAACTCATATACCCACAGCATCGTGATGCTTGCCTGACAGGTGCTCTGACAGATGTGCTTGCTGTTCTATACAATTTCCTCTGCACATGACTTACATTCTATGGTTATGCGTGTTGTTTAAATGTAAAAAATTTGATATTTTCATTAGAGCCCGACCGATAGGGGTTTTTTGGGGCCGATACCGATATTAGGGAGTAAAAAAAGGCAGATACCGATATATCGGCTGATATTCTTTGTGTATATTATAGTACAGTACCAGTCAAAAGTTTGGACACTTTCCCATTCGTGTGTCCAAACATGGTACTATATATAGAATACAGTATATACATAAACAGAATATATATACATAAATACATTTTTTGCAATGATCACTCAAATGTGGTGATCAAACACTTATAATGGTGACCGAGATATGTAAGGGCATTTAACAATTTAACAATAAACTTGCGATGAGTGCGATGCACAAAGTAACGGGGTGTTAGTTGTAACACACATGGTTTGAATATTTATTTTACCATAGTAACATTTAAATTCTGGCTTAAGTAAATGTTTTATCTCAGTTTTTATTATTCATTTAAAATGAGACATATCTGCTATTATTTTAATCTCCAATCTGTTATTTATCAGTTCAGATAGTTTTTTTATGCTTTGATTACTAGCAGAAGACACTAACCAGTTTTAAATTCCAGTTGCGCAGATGGGGCAAGTTGTAACACTGCGTTACAATGTGCTATTCTATGACATTAGCGATGTAATTTACAATATTCACTTTAATTAATTTTAATGAGAAACAAC